AAAAAAAAAAAAAAGAGATCAGCTGAATTACTTTCCATACCCAAAGGCCTTGGAGGTCAGATCCCACACTGGGATCTCTAGTCTAGGGTTTCTCCAACTCTAAGGTGCATATAATCTCAGATTTTGTTAAAATGCATATTGATATCTTGAGTTTGGGATAGGGCCTAAGGATCTTAATCTTACGAGAATTGACTGTGTGTGTGTGTGTGTGTGTGTGTGTGTGTGTGTGTGTGTGTGTGTGTGTGTGCATGCGCATGTGTGTTCATACTGGGGCTTGAACTCAGCACCAGAGTGATGTCACTTCACTTTTTGTTCTCAAGGCTAAACAATTCCACTCCACTGAACTCTGAGGTGCTGGTCATAGGACCACACCAGCAACACAGAAGATATAGACTGCTAGCAGTCCTGAGGGGAGTTGTAATTTGATACACAAGACACAGAACCAAAGACATCTGGGTTGAGCTGGGTGTGGTAGCTCATACCTGTAATTTCAGCTACTTGGAAGGTAGAGATAGGAAAATCACTGTCCTAAACTGGCCTCAAGCAAAAATGAGACCCTATGTGAAAAACATCAAGCAAACTGCAAATGTATGTGTGTGTTATGATATATGTATTTTTAGGGCCATGATCGGGTGAGGTTACATGGAGAAGTACTTAAGAAAGAAAAGTGGCATTCCATTCAACAGACAAAAATGAAGAAAGCATTCTCTGGAGAAGAACTCTTCTGGGCAAGAGCAACGGGAAGTCTTCAAGTCTCCAGGTTTTACTCAGTTCCTTATTTCCCTATCCAAAGAAAGGCTGGAGTGGCAGATGGGAGGGAGGAAGAAGGTGTGGACATGTTTATGACATTGTTTACATTCTTGCTAGCTAATGTTTGGTTTCCTTATCTTTGCAGACTGTAATAGCTCTTGGTGCAGTTTGGAAGCCACCAGATCCCAATCAAGACTCCAAAGTCTTTAAGAAGCTACCAGCAGATAGGCTCCACAAGGATCTGCCTTCAGAACTTAGGGAAGAGGGGCATAGCCAGCACCAAAATGGATTCCACTTTGGGTTACCTCAGATGAACATCCTGTGTGTCAGGGTGTCCCTGAGATTCTTTTCCTTAAGGCTAGTGCTCTACCACTTGAGTCACATGCCACTTCCTGCTTTTTCTGAGTAGTTGATTAGAGATAAGAGTCTCATGGACTTTACTGCCCAGGCTGGCTTTGAACCACGATCCTCAGATCTCCACCTCCTGAGCAGTTAGAATGACTGATATGAGCCAACAGCTAGGCCCCTTATATCTACACCACCAGAGTCCTCACTGTATTCTAAGTAGGGGTCCCTCCCAGCACCTGGCCATACACAGGAGTGTATCAGATGTGGGTCCAGCTACTTGAGAAAGATTAGTTAGTTTTTGTTTTGTTTTGTTTTTAGAATTGGAAATAAGAGGATGGATCCAAAATAAATAGCTGCAATTTCAGCCCCTAAACACTGGGATTAATCATCTGAAATCTAATTTGGATAAAATCCGAGTCTTTGCTCTGGGTGTTCTTGGACCCAAGTTTCTTGTGTGTTAAGTGCATTGATGATCCTTGGTAGTAATTTCTTTTTGAGTAGATTTTTTTTTTAACAGCAACAAAGAAGTAACCTCTTGTTTCCATTTCCTGAATCGATTTTTGAAGGTTTCATTTGAACAATAGGGTCAAATTCCTTATTGTAAGTTTGAAGCCTGCATCTGGAAGCTTATTAGCTGGTCCACCTTAGGAAAATCACCTTATTGCTCTGTGTCCCATATGTTCAAATAATGTTATTTATTTCCCCAAGTAAATCACAGGTTAAAATCAAGGACTATAAAGTGTTTGGTTTTTATTATTACAATTTCCTCTTTTTAATATTTTATAATTTGATCATCTTATTATTAATTTTTATTTTACTATTCCAACTTCTTCTTTCTTTTTTTAAAATATAGTTTTGTTTTTTTTTAAATTTTATTTATTTTATTTGTGAACAAACTGTACAGAGGGGTTACAATTGCATGGGCAGGATAATGCGTACATTTCTTACCAAGCATTGCAGCCTCCTCCTTTGTTTA